TGTAGAAAGTAACCATCCCCCCCACCCCCCACCCCTGATTTCCCACAATTCTGAAACAGGTTCGAGCATCTCGTTGAGTTTTTCCTGCTCAGTAGCTGATTGTGATCCCACTTCTGTTTGGAACACCAGCAGCTCAGTGTTGCAGCTGGTCGGACCATAGGCCCCCCACTCCGTGGATGCTCCGCGGTGGCAGTGCCCGCAAGGAAAAACTTAGTTCTCCGCACCTAGCCTCTGCCCCCTTCCCCAGTGCTTCTCACCGGTTCGAGCATCTCGTTGAGTTTTTCCTGCTCAGTAGCTGATTGTGATCCCACTTCTGTTTGGAACACCAGCAGCTCAGTGTTGCAGCTGGTCGGACCATAGGCCCCCCACTCCGTGGATGCTCCGCGGTGGCAGTGCCCGCAAGGAAAAACTTAGTTCTCCGCACCTAGCCTCTGCCCCCTTCCCCAGTGCTTCTCACCAGCCTGCAGCCCTGCTAACTCTTCCCCCTCCCTCCCAGCACCTCCCGCCCACCACAGACAGCTGTTTCCCGGCATTCAAGAAGCTCCAGGAGGGAGGAGGAAGAGGAGTGGGAACTGGGAGCATTCGGGGGATGAGGCAGGGAACAGAGGGCAGGGATGGGATTTGGTGGAAGGGGCGGAATGGAGACAGGGCGGGGGCAGGCTCTGGGGTGGAGGGTGGTTGAGCACCACTCGGCGACAGGAAAAGCTGGTGCCTATGGGTTGGACTGCCCTAAAGCCACAGCTCCAGTCCCCTGCATGGGGAATTTTAAAAATGTTTTGCTCTTAGTCCCAAACGTGGGCTGGGGTGTTCAAGGGAAGCTATAAGCAATTAAGGGCCAAATTCCTGTGGCGCGTCAGTAGCATCTGAGTGTCTAATTACTTCAGGCTTCTTAAAAGAGCTTCCTCTGAAGCAGGACGAGTGGACTTCCAACCAGCGCTGGGTGCGTCTCTTCACTCGGCCCTTCTAAAGTCACAGCCGAGAACACTTCCAAAAGCTAAGTGAAAGCTTAAAAAAGCAACAGAAGCCCCCGCAGTAACTGAGGGTATGTCTACACTACCCCGCTAGTTCGAACTAGGAGGGTAGTGTAGGCATACCGCACTTGCAAATGAAACCTGGGAAATTCAAATCCTGGGCTTCATTTGCAAGTGCGGTATGCCTACACTACCCTCCTAGTTCGAACTAGCGGGGTAAAACAAAGGTAGCTGGGATCATGAGCTTTCGTGGGCACAGCCCCCTTCTGCAGGTGAATGCCGTAAAGAGTCCAGGGTACAAACCAATAGCAGAAAGAGCGGGGATGGGAAAGAGAAGAAAAAAATCTCGTCAATCAGAGTGTCCGTGCTAAATGAGGCTACTAGAGTGGGCTGTAAGTGCTGGTTGCTCCGCTTTTGATGTCATTAGGGTGTGGAATGTGACGGCCCATCCAGGGCAGGTCTTTGTGCAAACCTTGGTTCCATTGGCAGGTTTGACACCTTTAATCCAGTTCCGCAGCTCCTCTCTCCAGCTGGTTTCGGAAATCGGTTTGTAAAGTCACTTTGAGAGCCAGGAGCGAAAGCCCAGGCAAGCAGAAATGTTCCCCGACAGGTTTCTGTGTGTTACCCTGTGGGATGTCTGATTTGTGTCCATTGATCCTTTGTTGCAGAGAAAGCTAAGTGGCCTTCTTTGTGCTTCATGCATGACTCTCCCTCCTCTTGACCATTTCCAGGCCACATTTAAGGCAGTGACCCAAATAGTGGAAGGGGGAAGAATTTGAGGCAAAGAATTAAAGCCACTGACATGTCGGTCTTGCTCATAACCCACCCCCTTATGACTTCATCAAAAAGAGGCACCTAGTGAGGGCTACATTTTGGGGGAAGGCCACATTTTCCTGATAGCTCTGCCCAAGGCGACTCTCACCTCCTGGTTCCTCAGGCTGTAGACAATGGGGTTGAACAGAGGGGTGACCACCGTGTACAGCAGGGAGAACACCTTGTTGAAGTCCAGCGACTGGCTTCCTGAGGGCACCACGTACATGATGATCAGGGCCCCGTAGAACGTGGAGACCACGATGAGGTGGGAGGAGCAGGTGGAAAAGGCCTTTTGCCGCCCGGCGGTGGAGGGGATCTGCAGGATGGCCAGGATGACGCACACGTAGGAGGTGATGGTCAGGAGAAACGGGGCCAGGGATATAGTGGCGGCAGAGACGAGAGCTGTTATCTCCGTCAGGCTGGCGTCGGTACAGGAAAGCTTCAAGAGCGCCGTTAAATCGCAGAAAAAGTGGTTGATCTCCTGAGGACCGCAGAAGGGCAATTGGGCGGCCATCATTATTGTGAAGGATGGAGTCACAAAGCCCAAGGCCCAAGAAGCAAAGGCCAGCAGAAAGGAAGCCCTGGGGCTCATCCTGCTGGTGTAATGCAGTGGATGGCAGATGAGCAGTAAACACTCCGCGGCGCCCAGGAAGCTAAACACAAACAGCTGAAGGAAGCAGCCCGAGAAAGAGATGGTCCTGTCCCCTGTGGCGAGGCTCCCCAGCAGCCGGGGGACGATGTTGGAGATGTAGCCGGTTTCCAGGAAGGAGAGGTTGCTGAGGAAGAAGTACATGGGGGTGTGGAGGTGACGGTCAGCCCACACGGTCAGAATGAGGAGAAGGTTCCCCGCCACAGTTGCTAGGTAGATCCCAAAGAAGACCACGAAGAGGGTTATCTGCAGCCCTGGAAGAGTCTTGAATCCCACCAGCAGAAACTCTGTGATGAGCGTCTGGTTTCCCTTCTCTAGACCAGCCATCGGCTATTGAAAGGGGAGCAAAAAAGGGCTGATAAACATTCACAGCATTTAAGGCTAGAGGAGACCACTGCAGTCACTTCGTCCAACCTGCATAATACAGGCTACAGAATGCCACTTAGGCCGCGTCTATATTTACACGCAAATATAAATTAAGATACACAACTCCAGCGATGTCAATTGCATCGCTGGAGTCGACGTACGTGAATTCAAACTTTGGCTATCTTCACAGCAGGACTTCCCTTACTTCTCATGATTCAAGGAGTACCCTTGAGTGTATGGGGGCGCCCTCAGTGTTCAATTTAGCAGGTCTTTACCAGACCCACTAAATCAAACTACGGATGACCAACCGCTGCAATGTCGATCTGGGAAGTGAAGACGGCCAGAGCTTGAGGTTTAACTAGAGAACATCTCTTAGAGAGAGATTCAATTTTTGATTTGGAAACTTCAAATTGATGGTTTTTTGGATTTGGGGGTTTGGAGTTTTGGGGGCAGTGGGTGAATTCACTAGCTTGGTTGTTAAAGGTAACTGTGTTGACATAATAAAGTTCCGTACGGTATTTGATTTACTCCTGCTATCGTTCCAATGAATGCACAATGTCATATATTTAGAACCAAACACACTTACAGGATTGAGGACTGTACAACCAAAACCACCTACTCTGAAAAGGGTGAGGATGTACTGGTGGACAGCCAGCCGAGTCTGAGATCCCAGTGGGATGGGGTGGCCAAGAGAGTCAAGTCAGCCTCCAGGCGTACTGAAAAGAGGTCCCGAGGAGGAGCAGAGAGGTAGTAGTAATGTAGAAAGCACAGAGGTATGAATTGAATGGAGATGCCTATCTCCTAGAACTGGAAGGGACCTTGAAAGGTCATCGAGTCCAGTCCCCTGCCTTCACAGCAGGACCAAGTACCGTCCCTGACAGATTTTGTCCCAGATCCCTAAATGGCCTCCTCAATGAACTCACAACCTTGGGTTTAGCAGCCCAATACTCAGACCACTGAGCTCTCCTTCCCCCCAGTGTGACTGGCACTGGCACTGGCACTGGCACCGGCACCGGCACACTGTTTCCAGTCCTGGGGTCCATATCTCAAAAAGGACCTTGGAAAACTTGGGAGTATTGGGAAAGGAGCAGAGGGAACGGGCAGGTGTTTGGAAAACACTGCAGAGGTGTTAAGGGGCCGTTTTGTCTGGCACGGTCCCTTGGAACGCGTGCTCCCTGCTTCTCCCAAGCCCCCTGCTCCGTCTGGCACGGGCCCTTGGAACGCGTGCTCCCTGCTTCTCCCAAGCCCCCTGCTCCGTCTGGCACGGGCCCTTGGAACGCGTGCTCCCTGCTTCTCCCAAGCCCCCTGCTCCGTCTGGCACGGGCCCTTGGAACGCGTGCTCCCTGCTTCTCCCAAGCCCCCTGCTCCGTCTGGCACGGGCCCTTGGAACGCGTGCTCCCTGCTTCTCCCAAGCCCCCTGCTCCGTCTGGCACGGGCCCTTGGAACGCGTGCTCCCTGCTTCTCCCAAGCCCCCTGCTCCGTCTGGCACGGGCCCTTGGAACGCGTGCTCCCTGCTTCTCCCAAGCCCCCTGCTCCGTCTGGCACGGGCCCTTGGAACGCGTGCTCCCTGCTTCTCCCAAGCCCCCTGCTCCGTCTGGCACGGGCCCTTGGAACGCGTGCTCACTGCTTCTCCCAAACACCCTGCTCTGCCTGGCCCGGTTCCTTGGAACGCGTGCTCACTGCTTCTCCGAAACACCCTGCTCCGCCTGGCACGGTCCCTTAGAACGCGTGCTCACTGCTTCTCCGAAACACCCTGCTCCGCCTGGCACGGTCCCTTAGAACGCGTGCTCACTGCTTCTCCGAAACACCCTGCTCCGCCTGGCACGGTCCCTTAGAACGCGTGCTCACTGCTTCTCCGAAACACCCTGCTCCGCCTGGCACGGTCCCTTAGAACGCGTGCTCACTGCTTCTCCGAAACACCCTGCTCCGCCTGGCACGGTCCCTTAGAACGCGTGCTCACTGCTTCTCCGAAACACCCTGCTCCGCCTGGCACGGTCCCTTAGAACGCGTGCTCACTGCTTCTCCGAAACACCCTGCTCCGCCTGGCACGGTCCCTTAGAACGCGTGCTCACTGCTTCTCCGAAACACCCTGCTCCGCCTGGCACGGTCCCTTAGAACGCGTGCTCACTGCTTCTCCGAAACACCCTGCTCCGCCTGGCACGGTCCCTTAGAACGCGTGCTCACTGCTTCTCCGAAACACCCTGCTCCGCCTGGCACGGTCCCTTAGAACGCGTGCTCACTGCTTCTCCGAAACACCCTGCTCCGCCTGGCACGGTCCCTTAGAACGCGTGCTCACTGCTTCTCCGAAACACCCTGCTCCGCCTGGCACGGTCCCTTAGAACGCGTGCTCACTGCTTCTCCGAAACACCCTGCTCCGCCTGGCACGGTCCCTTAGAACGCGTGCTCACTGCTTCTCCGAAACACCCTGCTCCGCCTGGCACGGTCCCTTAGAACGCGTGCTCACTGCTTCTCCGAAACACCCTGCTCCGCCTGGCACGGTCCCTTAGAACGCGTGCTCACTGCTTCTCCGAAACACCCTGCTCCGCCTGGCACGGTCCCTTAGAACGCGTGCTCACTGCTTCTCCGAAACACCCTGCTCCGCCTGGCACGGTCCCTTAGAACGCGTGCTCACTGCTTCTCCGAAACACCCTGCTCCGCCTGGCACGGTCCCTTAGAACGCGTGCTCACTGCTTCTCCGAAACACCCTGCTCCGCCTGGCACGGTCCCTTAGAACGCGTGCTCACTGCTTCTCCGAAACACCCTGCTCCGCCTGGCACGGTCCCTTAGAACGCGTGCTCACTGCTTCTCCGAAACACCCTGCTCCGCCTGGCACGGTCCCTTAGAACGCGTGCTCACTGCTTCTCCGAAACACCCTGCTCCGCCTGGCACGGTCCCTTAGAACGCGTGCTCACTGCTTCTCCGAAACACCCTGCTCCGCCTGGCACGGTCCCTTAGAACGCGTGCTCACTGCTTCTCCGAAACACCCTGCTCCGCCTGGCACGGTCCCTTAGAACGCGTGCTCACTGCTTCTCCGAAACACCCTGCTCCGCCTGGCACGGTCCCTTAGAACGCGTGCTCACTGCTTCTCCGAAACACCCTGCTCCGCCTGGCACGGTCCCTTAGAACGCGTGCTCACTGCTTCTCCGAAACACCCTGCTCCGCCTGGCACGGTCCCTTAGAACGCGTGCTCACTGCTTCTCCGAAACACCCTGCTCCGCCTGGCACGGTCCCTTAGAACGCGTGCTCACTGCTTCTCCGAAACACCCTGCTCCGCCTGGCACGGTCCCTTAGAACGCGTGCTCACTGCTTCTCCGAAACACCCTGCTCCGCCTGGCACGGTCCCTTAGAACGCGTGCTCACTGCTTCTCCGAAACACCCTGCTCCGCCTGGCACGGTCCCTTAGAACGCGTGCTCACTGCTTCTCCGAAACACCCTGCTCCGCCTGGCACGGTCCCTTAGAACGCGTGCTCACTGCTTCTCCGAAACACCCTGCTCCGCCTGGCACGGTCCCTTAGAACGCGTGCTCACTGCTTCTCCGAAACACCCTGCTCCGCCTGGCACGGTCCCTTAGAACGCGTGCTCACTGCTTCTCCGAAACACCCTGCTCCGCCTGGCACGGTCCCTTAGAACGCGTGCTCACTGCTTCTCCGAAACACCCTGCTCCGCCTGGCACGGTCCCTTAGAACGCGTGCTCACTGCTTCTCCGAAACACCCTGCTCCGCCTGGCACGGTCCCTTAGAACGCGTGCTCACTGCTTCTCCCAAACACCCAGCTCCACCTGGCATTTTGCTGTGCTGCCCAGACCCGAGGAAGAGTCTCGGTGGCTTTGAAAGTTTCTCTCTCTCTCCAGCAGCTGTTGGTCCAATAACAGATATGAGCTCACTCACCCTGTCTCTCTCAAACACAGACGGAGTTGCATGGTCTCCTTGGCCTCTGAGGACAGGACAAGCAGCAATGGGCTTAAACTGCAGCAACGGAGATTTAGGTAGGACATTAAGAAAAACTTCCTGCCTGTCAGGGGGGTGAAACACTGGAATAAGTTGCCTGGGGAGGTTGTGGAATCCCCATTTCTGGAGATATTGAAGAGCGGGTCAGACAGACACCTGTCAGGGATGGTCTAGATGGTGCTTGGTCCTGCCATGAGGGCAGGGGACTGGACTCGATGGCTCTCGAGGTCTCTTCCAGTTCTAGTGTTCTAGGATTCCATGATAAAGCTTTCAGTGGGAGCCGGAAACTTAAGCTCATTTGAAGAAACTCAGGCAAATGAAGGAGGAAAGCGATGGAGAAGAGTTCTGAAAATAGCCCCACACCTTTCCATCATTTAGCAAGTTGTCTTCCTTGCGCGTACGGTGGAACATCGCCAACACAGAATGGAGTTCACATGTGGTCAAGGGAAAAGGGATTGAAAGATTGAGAAAAGGCTTGCTGAGAAGGTAGACGGAAACAAAAGGGACTGTTAAGTAGAAAATATCCTCCCAGCTAGTTCTACTTATCAACAATGTTGATGACAATTTTAAAAACCCCTAAAATATTATTGAAATATTTAGAGTTGTCATTGAAAACAAAACACCCCTCCGTTTTGCAGCGATGGGAAGGTTGATTGTCAAAACCAAACCAACGAACAAACCTACTGCTTCTGGGATTTCCTTATTTTTTTCTCCAATTAAAAAACCTTTTACATTTATTTTAGTGCCATTTCTGTTTCACCAAAGAGCCATTTCTCATCAAACAAAATTGTTGGGTGGAAAAAGAGCATCAATTTGGACTAAACAAACAAGAAAACAGCCCTGAGGAAGAGCGAAACAGTTACCTGTTGTGAGAGCTGCTACTTGTCTCACGTTCTGTGAAGAGCAATCAGACATGGCCCGTTGGCAGGGGCCCTCGCTCACACAGCCCGCAGCATGGGTCCATCCACCGTGCACCCAGCCATGTCTAAGACAAACAACACTATACCAGACAGA